TTCCAAACCGAGTTTGTGTCTTATTCTGAATCACTACGGTACACTTATAATAAGTACTTATATTTTGACTATTGTAGCCTGGGCGGGTCGTCACCGCTGCGGAGTAACACATACCTGCGATAATCGCCATAGACATAAATTAGAGAAGTAGCTCTGGATGGAATGTTCTTCCGCGGGATGTGTGCAGTTCTGTTTATTAACCGCTAGAGTGACAAAAGTTACATAGTGCTGCTTTAAATGGTGATTTTTTATTTTTTTGTGCAACCTGGATGCAGCTAGTGAGTGGTGGGATATTTTGCTAATAAAATGATTGTGCCAGAAAACTGTCACGAAACAGTTTCATCTGTGTCTCTGTATCATCTCAGTGAGCTTTTATTACATTTTACGCATGTGCAGATTGAAGCTTTTGAGATTTAAGCATTTTGGACGAGCAACTCTTGGAAAAAAATTAAATAAATAGATGTCCATCTATTTTCCATCACTGTCTCTCATATTCATCTTTTTGACTGCCTTCATCTATCCCCTGTACAGAGAGACTCAAGAATTTGGCAATATTTTGTGTAAAACAGATTCAAAGCACTTTGAAATTAACACTGAAATTTGCTAAGAGAGAGGAAGAGAGGCCAGAACTATTGCTGAGAGCTCTGAGAGACTCTTAACATTATGTTTTGGGTTGTTTGGTCCAAATTCACTGCCAAAGTCTTAATGAAGACTTCTGAATTAGCAGTCCATCCTTTTCTCTCTCTGACTCCACCCTCCACAAACAGCCACATACTCTCCCACATTCACTAGCTACCTGGAGACACCGTGACACTGAGCCAGCCAATCAGCTGCCTGAGAACTCGTCTCCTGCCTTCCGATTGGCCGGCCACTCCAGCTCTCATTACATCATCAATGCGGCCATCATTGTGCCGTCTGGCCACAACCGAGCCAATTACTGGCCAAGAATCTGAAGAATACAAACAACCAGATAATGAAGCAAAGCAGAGGGTGAAATATAACAGGAGCCGTGTAAGGAGAAAAAGTCCTGAAGGGATCCAGACATTAAGAGTGTGTGTCTGTTGTTTTGAAGAGGATCTGTAATGAGAAACACACATAAACAAAGAGCTCTATGCCTTTATGTTTAAACAATGTGTTTAAATGAAAGCAAATGTGCATTGTCAACACACACACACACACACACAGCATCTCATCGTGAACAAAAGAACTCTGAGCTGCTTTTATCTTCTTTAAGAGCTCTAATCAGTTCATCATGTTTCTTTTTCTCTTCCTGTCTTTCACTTCACTTTCTCTCTGTTGAACATCTAGTTTCCTGCACTGAAAAAATTAGTGTAGAAACAATTTTCATTCAGGAATTGCTAGTACTGTAAACAAACAATGACAAAAAGGTGACAAGTAACACATTTAACAATTAAATGTAAATTGTTTTAAGTAAGACTGAACCTTCTTTCTTTCTATTCATTTTTAATTTAATTTAATACATGCTCCACTTATCGTTTTAACATATATATATATTTTTTTTTTGTTTGTTTTTTTGTGCATTTACGACGTAAATGTGTTTTATTCATTTTGTTATGTGCATTTGTCATTTTTATTAGTTAATGTAGTTAATGTTTAGAAATTAAAACGAATAAAAAATTATTAGTTTTCATTTCCGAAAATTAAGTAACTACATTAGTTGACAAACTAACAATGAGCATTCAATGAACTTCAACAGCATTTATTCATTTCAGTTTAATATTAATTTCTACATTTATGAATACATTTTTTTATATCAAAAGTTGTTTCTGTTAACATGAGCTAATGCACTGAACTTAAGGTTAACAAATGCTGTAAAAACATTATTTTGTTAACTAGTGAACAAAATCAGACCTTATTGTTAAGTGTAATTTTAGTAGTTTTAGTACTTTATTATATTTCAGTTAGTTGCCAAGCTAACATTTATAATATTTTAATTCAGATGTATTTCATTTAACAGTTTTTAATAGTTTTACTTAATAACACTAATGCAAAACCTGCGATGTGGTGGTAGGGTGTAAGAATGTGGAGAGCCACTGTTTTATGAACTCCCACAGGGGTCAGAGGTCAAGCTTTAATGAAAACCTGCCACAAAGGCAGAGACATGAAACACTCACATGCTTCAACACACTTCCATTCAACAACACACACAAAAAAGGCTCTGAAGCTCTAAAGATGCAAAACAGAGGCACCTGAGTCAAACTGCCTGACAACTGGCACATCAAACACTCCATTAAACAACTATAATTCACAAAACAACATTCACTATTATTAGTCTTTATATTTAGGGTTAGTGATTTGAACAAACCCCTAACACCAAGTCAGGGACGTAAATTTAGTCTAACAGTTGAGGGGGACAATAAACAAAATTTCTCAAGAGCAATTTTTGAAGGGGACACAAATAATACTGCTAAAATTGTACTTGTAAAGACAAGTATACACAGCCTTACTACTATTAGTGCAGCAGGGAGACCGTGTCAAATTAGACAACTTCAAGCTGTTCATGTCCATTGTAGACATTACCATCCTTCAAGCAGGTAACGTTATTATTGCTACATAGCGGACTCATTGAAAAATACATTGGCATCATCAGTATTAAAGAGAAATTAATCACTTCATCCGATGTTTAAGTGAATAAAATAGCCTTGACAGTCGAGTTCCACAACTATTGACTTGTTTTCGCTCACCGGACTAGTGTGTGTATGTAGGTGATGCAGGGTTGCCGGGTTTTCGCAACAAAACCTGCTAAATTGCTACTCAAAACTAGCCCAATCGTGTTTCGAAGGGGGTTCCTGGTAAAAATTGTGTTCCGGGGGGTAAAATACACGTTTTTCGGCAGGGTTCCTCCTGGTAAAATTCGCATTCATATCACGTTATTGGGGTCGCTTCAACCCGCGGCAAAAGTGTTAAAGTAGCCCAGTTCCACGGGAAAACCACAGACTCGGCAACTGAGGTGATGTAAAAGAGGAAAGCAGGCATTTGGACCAAAGCACTGTGAGGCAAGGGAGGGGAGACTCAAAATGTTTCTAAACTTAAAAAGCATTTTTGCCCCGTTACTACTTACAAAGTTATTTAAAGTATAAAACATTATTTACAATACACAGCGTGGTTTTTAATCATATTTTTAGGGGGGACAACCCTCAGATAGGGGGGTCCTGTCCCCCCCGGTATTTCCGCCTATGCACCAAGTATAAACGATAGTAATAATGATGCATGTACAAAACAAACAAGCACTATATGCTGTCAGGAGTCTGTGAGTGAAACACATCCGGCATGAGCTGCTCTGTGAATGAGTCTGATTCTATTCCTGGAGGAAAAATCACCGTGGTTACAGGGAATGGAGGGATTCCAAAGCAAACATTCCACCCTTCTCCCAACTCCTCGTCTCATTGAACATCTCTTAAAAAAAACCCACATACTATACCACTGAGAAAAACAGATGGACCCCACAGCACATGGCAGAAACTGCTAACCCAATTAACCCATGTGCCAAACAACTCATAAACAGGAAATCAGACTTTGTGTGACCTTCATGTTTTGTGTGTTTAATGTAAGACGCATTTTTCCCTGTGTCTGTATGAGTTGTAACAGAGAAGTGTGTGTGAGTGTGTTAGTCTGGGATTTGCTGAGAGGAAATTCCAAATCATAGCTGCATTTTTCTGCACTCATGAGACATAAAACCAGCACACAGATGCACACACAGGAATGTCAAATAAATGCTGTACCAGTCATACCAAATTACACACACAAGACATGTTCCATAAACGTTACCACACATTTGTGTTCTGTACAGTCATATTGACTTTGTGCATATTGACTCTCATACATATATATGTGAGGCACTAACAAAAAAGGTCCTAAAAATACCATGGTATTATCATGTGTTTCTAGAAAAGTGCACCATAGCACCATTTGGAAATTTACTATGGCATTCTGTAAAATATCATACTTTTATGGAGGTTCTTAATAAAAGAATAGTTCAGCCAGAAATGTGCTGAAAATGTACTCACCGTAAGGTCGTTTAAGATGTAGATGAGTTTGTTTCTGCAAAAGATTTGGAGAAATTTATCATGCTACCAACGAATCCTCTGCAGTGAATGGGTGCCGTCAGAATGAGAGTCCAAACAGCTGATAAAAACATCACAATAATCCACACCACACCACTCCAATCCATCAATTAACATCTTGTGAATTGAAAAGCTTGAAAAGCTGCATGTTTGTAAGAAACAAATCCATCATTATGGAGTTTGAAGTTCAAACTGTCGCTTCAAGGTCAAAAATATGAGTCCAGAATCCAAAAGAATGCTTGCTTTCGTGAAACAGTTGTCTACTCACAGCAAAATCCACCCCCGTATTTGCTTAGAAGGGTTTTGGCTTTATCTGTGCATATTTCTCTCCTGATTCAGACAAGACAACTTTTTCACTGGGTGAAGTGTTATTATGCATAGAGGACTTTATTTTAGCCAGAAGCAATGGTTTGAAGTTTAAAAAATATCTTAATGATAGATTTGTTTCTTACAAACATAGATTTTGGCTTCACAAGTGGTCTGGAGTGGTGTGGATTACTTGTGGATTATTGTGATGTTTTTATCAGCTGTTTGGACTCTCATTCTGATGGCACCCATTCACTGCAGAGGATCCATTCATGAGCAAGTGATGTAAAGCTAACTTTCTCCAAATCTGTTCTGATGAAGAAACAAACTCATCTACATCTTTGATGACCTGAGGGCGAGGACATTTTTAGCAAATTTTCATTTGTGGCTGAACTATTTTTTTTTATTGAAAGGTTTTGAATATTTAATATGGTTTATTGTAAGAGTCCAAATACTTTGGGGTCCATAAGTAAATTTCAGTTACTACAAGTACCTTACAAGTACCATACCTTTTGCTATTGAGGGCATTTTCAAATATTCCATCAATCCAATAATAGCAAAACCAGTCAAACAAACAAATATACATACACACACAAAATCCATATGGAATAAGTATTAAAGATGATGTTTTAATAGTGTGGCTTAGAGACAACCAGAATAAACATCTCTACAGTCAAAACGCAATATACACAATTTGACCAAATGGATCTCACCATTACAATCTCTATATTATTACAATAAAACAACCAACAATAAAAATAGACAAAGAAAAACTGTGTTCTAAAAAAAAACATCAAAACAAAGAAAACACACAGTCTCTTTGTTTTTCCAGTGATCTTTATCCAGTTTTTTCAATAAAGTGAAACTGACTTGCACAACCACCAATACGATCAATCGGCTTTGAAGCAGAATCTGTTGGCTCCCAGTTTTATAAAACTGCAGTCCACAAAAATGTCAAAAATTGGAAATTTGGCTTCAAAAACTCCAGAAAAACAAAAAAGCAGGATGTTCTCAAGCTCTTTCGGACTTACTAGTTTCTAGGCAGCATTTAGAGAACGGACCACTGCCAAAACATTGACGTCGTTTTACACACATTACATAAATGCATATATATTTTAATATAGTTTCATCGGGAAAAGAAAAATTCTCAGGATTTCTTGACAAATGCAGTCCGAGCTATGGCTTTAAACAGTGATCTCTACCCTCAAACTTTCAGCCAACATCAACATTCAGGTAAGTCATATTGCAACGCTGAAACTCTGAGGTCATATTTCCCCGTGTCACTGACACAAACTTAGTTTACGACTCGAGAGCAATCTTAACGCTCGAAAGGTTAAACAGTATCAGCTGGTGATCAGTCGACAAAGGCAGGAACATTTGGTCACCATCTTCTGAAGACTGCAATGAAAAATACTAAAGTTTAATAAATCTATGTGCAGATATTTCAGCACCAATGATAGAAGTGCTCTGCCACAGTCCCTCAGATTTGTCTTGATCAAACCGTTTATCAGAGAAATAAATGCCAAAGGACCTGTCAATGTTACTTTTGCCCAGTTCACTTTTTACTCAATGTCTGGCAGTAAATTAAAAATGATTTATCTTGTGATGGTGAAATGCCACTGAAAATTGTGTGATGTATGAATCAGCAGATTGGATCAGCATATCCATAGAACTATAGCACAAACACAAAAACACGACGGACATTTATGAAAACACGCATAACTGACCAATGCAATTCATGAAAACCACTGTGAAGTAGATTATTGCATTCAATTCAATGCAACAATTTATGCACTTTTTTTACTAATGTTTTATCAGTTCTATCTGAAACCATTCTTGCATAAATTGTCACATTTAATTCCATGCAATGATTTATACAAGAATGGTTTTATGAATGACTGGAATGAATGAGGCTCATTGATTGTAGCCAGTGAAAAATACAAGTATTTTTGAGATTCAAACAACACCATTCACTTAAAATGACAGAAACAGAAGAGCACAGGAAGAGAGAAATAATCTTGTGAACAGGTACCAGACCTCCTTGTGATGGCTACAGAACCTCAGTGAGAACACCAAGTATACTCTAATTGAACATGCATTTATGGGATCGACATTATTGGCACATTGCGTTTCGAGTACAATAATGTGACTTATTTCAAACTTTCAGCCATGTGATGCGTTTTAAAGTGAAAGAGCAAAACAAAAAAGCTAAATGTTAAAGAGAAACAGATGTTTGTTTTAAAAAGGAACCAGAAGAGGATATTCAGATGAATTTGGAATGGAACAAAAATGTTCTGGAATCTATATACAAATCTTTGGAGTCTTTGCAAATGCAGACAACAGAGATAACGGACAGATGAAATCTTGTGTTTAGAGAAAGAGTGCTAGACAATGACAAAATGACTGTGACAGTGATGAGATGAGGCCACTCCTCCAGTATGACGGCCAATAGGAAGCCGTGTGGGCTTACTCGAGGGGTGTGGTTTAGCGAGAGCCCCGCCCTCGCAGACGTGGTCCTTTTAACCGGCAGGATCAGCAGAGGAAGTCCTTAATTTGAGCGTAATGGAGCGTCGTCTAAGAGGTCCTCCAGCGAGCCCGTGTCTTCCGGAGACAACTCTTTCCTGTCCTCCGCTTCCAATCGGGTCTTTTTCATGGCACTGGGCGGGGCTACCTCTTGAAGAAGCTCTTTGGCGAGAATGTTTGTCACGGCCTGACCGGCTCCTCTCCGATTGTTGGCTGAAATGGAAAGGGAAATAATAAATAAAGGGCAATTAAAAAGATATTCAGTTTCATGTAGGTCAAACAACAAGCTGGAAAGGTCACTCTTTGAAGTCAGACACAGGTGTAAGAGTTCAAAGGTAATTGCTTAAAGCACTGCAGTCAAAAACAACCAACAACTTACCTTTTTATATGAATATGCCAGGTTATTTTCCACTTACTGATCCCTACAAACAATGATTTCAACTCGTTCCTCAAAACGGACCATATTTTACAATAAAAAATAAGATTACGGATTGAAAGGTTTAAAAGCATAAATGTGAAGCTCATATAGTTGTTAAATTGCTAAAATGTAAATGCATTATTTGCCAAAACCATTTTTTGAGGTAGGATTACTTCACTACACTGCAAACAATACAAATATCTAGACATAATTAAATCAAGACGCATCTACTTGAGAAGGAAAATAACTTGAGGTATCAAGTCATGAAAAATGTCATTGTCAATGTCATTGTCTGAAAAAATTATCAAATTTAAAAGAGTTTATACTGAAAATAAGAAAAAAATATGAACTATTGTAACTTATCTGACAAGAGATATATATAAAAACATGAATTCCCATTTTTATTTTTTATTCAGTCGCAGTAACCAAAAAAAAAAAAGTCAGAATTCTGAGATGTCAACTCAAAATTCTGAGAAAAAAGTCAATTGTGAGAAACAAAACAACAAAAAAATAATTAACTTATGTCTCACAATTCATAAGTGTTTTACTCTAAATGTGTAATACAACTGAGAGTTGAAGTCATTGTCTGTAATAATCTAAAGTAAGCCGCACATGCTATTCCTCAACGTGAAGTTGAAAATAACCTGGAATATTCCTGTAAACACCATCAGATTGATATTCTGACATAAGAGACAGCTGCAAAACATCATATATGTGTGCTATATGTGTCATATTCCATTCACATTCTCCAGCCTGTATGCAAAACAAGACCATGCAAAGGACACACACACACACACCAGTGCCACTGATAACAATCTCTGAACAAACATCTGTAACGAAGCATGCGGAGCGATATTGAACACACACGCGCACACAGACGTTACCAAGCAGGTGTCCAGTATGAGCTGTGATAAAGACAGCACTGAGTCTGTTGGGGAGAAAAAGTCGTTATGGGTGCGTTTGTAGCTTTGGGTTGTGAGTGTCAGACAGATGGGACCCTATAAACATTTACAATGGTAACAGAGTTGTGTTTCTGCTATAAAATGATGGTCACTTTATATTACTACACTGTGTCTAAACAGGTTCCCAACAATAAGTATTTTGTGTTTGGTTGTTTCTTATTAAAATGCCACAAGATGATCACAGTTTATCGGAAAATGCTTAATGTTTAATATACAGTCATGTGGATTTCGAACCAATGACATTTCACTGCAGGACTACAGAGTGATATGAATTAGAAATAGACAACATGGAAAAAGTCAGTCAGTTGTCACAGTTTACTCTTTAACCTATCTTTGTCTAGTTTTCCAGGTCAAATATCAAAAACATTTTAAATCAGGATGCATTTACTTGAGATGCAAAATGACTTGAGATAGTAAAATTTTAAGTCTCGTTTTCACTTGTATGTGAATGAACTGTTTCACAATTAGGAGAGTTTCCTCTTAAAAAAGATGGAATATCTGTAATAATAATAAAAGATGGAATAACAACAATAATAATAATTAAATAGTATTATCAAATATTACATTAAAATCTAAAACTTAATTAAAATAGTTGTTTTTAAAATGTTTTTCTTGTTTAGGCAATAAATAATTAAAAATAAAAAACAAAAAGGTAAATACAAAAATAAAAAGCATGTTTTTTTTCAGGAAATAAGTGTTAAGATGTCATTTTGTATCTCTATGTATATCTTGATTTAAGAATGTTTTGATATTTGTAATGGAAAATAAGACAAAATATTAAATAACATTACTTTTAATAGTGTTGGCTAAGACGAACAAATCATAGTTTTTACTAATTTTACTCAATTAGTTACAGTTCACTGTTTTACTTCAGTATTTTTGTCTCATTTTCTAGGTCAAATATCTAAAATGTTTTAAATCAGGATGTATTTACTTTAGATGCAACATGACTTAATTGTAATGTATCAAAATTAGGATAGTTTATTCTTAAAAAAGAAGGAATGTCTGCCAGTGTGGTCTAAAAAAATACAATTTCTGAATAATAATATTAAAAAATATATTATTATTATTAAATATTATATGAAAATAAAAAAAGTAGTTTTTCAGTTTTTTTCTTGTTTAGGCAATAAATAAATAAATATATTGTTTTAAATAAATGAAAATATATATATATCTTTTTTCAGAAAATAAGTCTTTTGATGTCATTTTGCATCTCAATTATGTATATCTTGATTTAACAATGTTTTGATATTTGTAATGGAAAATAAGACAAAATATTAAAGAAAATTACTTTTAATCGTGTTGGTTAAGACAAAAAAAATCGGATTGGTAATGGAAAAGTTAGTTTTTACTCACAGAAAAAAATAAAAAAATAAAATATAAATCACCTGGTTAAACACACTGTCATTGTTGACCACCACTGTCATACTAACTTAATAACTTAAATAAATAAATAAAAGATTGAGTCTTCTGACTCTCTGACCAGTGGATCATTAGGATCATGAATGCATCTCAAACTCTTCTGCATCACATAAAAGAACATCTGAGACTGATGTGTGTGTGTGTGTGTCTAACATGATTAAGTGTGTGTGGTATTGTTTCTCCAGCAGCAGCAGTGCGTGTTGCTCTTTTGGTGGGATGGTCAGAGGGTGTGTCCTGCCTCAATGTTTGTGAGCTGGACAAAAGAGGTGTGTGTGTGTGTGTGTCTGTGTGTTTTGTGGACATCTGGCACACAGTGTGTTTCTCTGTGGGTGTTTGTGTGTTTGGGCTCTATGAAGTGATATTGTATGTTTGTGAGTGTTGGGCACAGGGTGTGTCTCTGTCTCTTTGTGTGTGTCTTTCATGGAGGAGTCAAGAGTGTGTGTGGGGTCACGACACGGCAGATGTGTGTATATTAATGAACAGCCTAAAAACAGACACATCCACACCAGCTACATCTTCATTTGCATACTATCTGTCCTAAATAGGTTGCAAGATTAGGATTTGTGCATGCCAAGTAGTACATTATGCACATTAAAAATAGTAGTTAAGTAGCATATGTGGATGTTCTTTGACCTAACATGGACCTTAGTGAATGTAGACTAAATTTAATTTGATACAATTATAATCAGGTTGTGAAGGATGAAAATGACTACTGGAAAGTTTCTGGAAACATCTGTCAAAGCCTTGTTTGAATTCATTTCAAATTAAATATGGTGTCTATCCTGACTAAGATCCATTACCCACTATTGTACAATTTGAGAAAAAAAAAGAAAAAAAGATTAGTTTTATTATATTGCTTTTTTTTCCTTTTTTCCTTTGTTTACTTTATACACACACACAGGTAAATTCTTTTGTATTTTTTGTAATAAATAATATTATTAAAAATATATATTAAATAATATCAGTTATTGTTATTATTACTTAAATAAAAATGAATAAATACCAAAATAAGAACTATTACTTTTGTAATATTTCACTGTAACATAACAAAAAAATAAGGTCTCACTTTATATTAAGTGGCCTTAACTACTATGTAATTACATCAAAACAATATGTACAATGTACTTAGTGTGTTCATATTGTATTGCAAAACGGGTAAGGTTAGGGACAGGTTTGGTGGTATGGGTAGGTTAAGGTGATAGGGATCGGTCAACAGTGTAATTATAAATGTAATTAATTACATGCAGGTATTTAAAAAAAAATAAGTACAATGTATGCACACGTGCATTGTACCAAATAAATAATACAGTATTAATATTCATGGCTGTCTTAATTTATTCCGATACATTTATTTAAGTAAATTATGGCATTTGCGATTTGAAAAAAAAAAGAGTTCGGTTTTATGTTGATTATTCATGCAGCCCTACTAAAGAGTTTTTAGATGTAGATAAACGTTAAATTGTTATAAATGTTCAAGTTAAATAAGAAATGTTAAGTTAATTAATTTAGCTAGATGCAAATACATGACAAAGGGGAATATGTTAAAGATTTCATGAGGTAGTTATATGCCTCAGTACTGGTGTCCTGTCTAATTATGTACCAAGTATGTACTTTCATCCTCATTATGTACTTTCATGATCATAATTTTGGCGGGAAATATGCAAGTTAAATGCAGTCACAAGTTAACATGAATCTGTCTAACAAAAGCCTTGTGAAGCTCAGAGATTTTAGCCCAATAATTAATATAAAAAAAAAAGTCCTTGTAGTTTCCACCAGATATGAGGCAGCACAGCATATTTGTATACATATATTTGTATTTGTGTCTTTGTAAGCATGTGATTAAAGCAGCAGCTGCCATCTGTCGCTCAGTATCTCTCTGATTGGCTGATGAATCATTATGCAGAGGGTCAGGGGTCAGAGATCACAGGGCGTCTTCTGTCTCCACACTGCATGCCTGCGGTCTGTCTAAAAGCATCTAAACTCTGTGTGTGTGTGTGTGTGAGAGAGAGAGTGAACGCATCCATATGCAGAATGGGTGTGTGTTGGTATGCATGAGTGTGTGTGTCTGTGGCATATGTTGAGGGGCTGAGTCACAGGCGCCATGTGTAGCTCCGTCTGTGTTGTCTACATAGTCAACCTCCAAAGGCAGCATCCTAACTGATTTGTAATGTCTACAGAGGCTGTAACATCATTTCACAAACAAGAATATATTTCACACACTGTTGCATTAACCTACATAACAACTGAACCAAGAGCAATACTGTTGCCATAACATGCTGTTCTATAACATGATATACATAATGATACCTTAACATGCTGTCTAGGTAGGGAGCTCATTAGGTTTTAGAACAGAGCTTGTGGGTGTGCTGCTACAGAAAGGCTAAAAATACAAAACACACCACTGATGATTCATGCCACACACACACACACACACAGAGAGTGTTAGACTCGACTCCAAGAAAAATACACAGTTTGAAGCAGCAAAGTAAACAGAGTAAAAACTGAAGAGCGATATAGAAAAGAGAGGGAATATAAGATGGTAAAGTAAAAATGGCCTGATTGAAGAGAGGAATGGAGGGGGCAAAATGAGGGAGAGTATGTCATGGAACTAAATACAAAAGATAAAAAGCGCGGGAATGCGGAGGCGGAGAGAGAGAGAGAGAGAGAGAGAGAGAGAGAGAGAGAGAGAGAGAGAGAGAGTGTGTGTATGGTCATTATTGCCACATAGCAGCACATCTGGATCCATTCAACGACAGATCCAGTTACACACACACACAGCGCTGCTCCACACTTTTTGTAAGTCTAAAATACAGCGAAAAGAGGGGAAATAAAGCACACATGGTTTACTATTGTGTACAGTTCTGATCAACATCTCTGTTGAAACAAGCTTGCATTTCAAAAGTTGTGCGGTTGGTAATTTTTTTAACGTTTTTGAAAGAAGCCTCTTTTGCTCACCAAGGCTGCATTTATTTGATCATAAATACACTAAAAAACAGTATTATTCTGAAATATTAACGTTTAAAAAAGTTTTATATTGTAATATACTGTATGTTATAATGTAATGTAATTTATTCCTGTGATCAAAGCTGAATTTTCAGCATCATTACTCCAGGCTTCAGCGTCACATGATTCTTCAATCTATTATGCTGATTTGCTGGTTAATAATTTTTGGTTATTATCAATGTTGAAAACAGTTGTGCTGCTTAATAGTTTTGTTGAAACTGTGATAATTTATTTTTCAGGATTCTCTGATGAATAGAACGTTCAAAAGAACAGGATTTATTTGAAATAGAAACCTTTTATAACATCATAATAGTCTATACTGCCCCTGCATTTACATTTAGGAGATGCTTTTACCAGTACACATTTTATCATGCTTTCACTGGAAATCAAACAACAAACTTGGTGTGTGTGTGTCATGTTTCTATGCTCCTCTTTATCTATTATTGTGTATCAATTCACTATGGTAACTTTTAATATAGCGATTTTCTGCATTGTGTACTCCCTCAACACCAGCAATCCCTGCACATGATAAACCAACTTTAATCTGATGTGTGTTACCTGCTTGTCGTGGTCCTCTCTTCCTTTTGAAAGCAGCTCCAGACTGCAGCGCCTCCAACAAACCATCCATGATACCAGTCTCATCATCTGAAACACACAAATGCAACATTAAACACACACAGACAATTAACATTATACATGGATAATACTCTCATTGCTATTTGAAACACGCACATGAAGTTTTATTAGTACACATGAACTATTACTGCTGAAACACATATGTAGAATCTCAGAGCAGCAGTCTCAGCCAAAGTGACATCAGAAGAGCGAGAAGCAAAGGATCATGGGAATGTAAACATCCTCTGATACACAAGTTAAAGCAGACGGCGCCCCCTATCTTTCACACACTGATGCATTAACCTACATAACAACTGAACCAAGAGCAATACTGTACCCCCCCCACACACACACACACCCACAAGGGGAAGGACAGCATGATTTAAAAATATTTTGTCTGTTCAAAATAGTTTGTTGAAAGTGTGTGTGTTTTCATATGGTGAACGGGTTCAGGTTTGTTTTCACGTGTGTATAGACAGATGGTTTCAATCAGGTCCTCTTTGTACAACATGAGGTTAAAGATTTATGGGTCTAATATCCCCTCCCCCATAAACACACACAAACACCAGCACACACCTCCCCCGATAAACACACACACACACACACACACACTGTAATCCCCGCAAAATCTGCAGCCAGATGGTTTTGCATCTGACCTGACAACCTACATCACACACACACACACACACACACACTCTGAGCTGTTCAGAAGCAGCCAGTAAGAAAGGAAGGAAGCAGGGGAAGTGGAAAAGGGGAGAGAGGGAGAGCGAGAGAGGGGGGCATGGGCACTCAAAGCATCGAATTGTCCCGAAACACTACGTCGTTCTCTGCCATTCTTACAGACTGCCGAGAAGCCATCACTTCAGGGGGGAGAGAGAGACAGGCAGACGTGCACACACTCATGCGTGTGACACCGGCATCAGGTGTGTGTCATGAATGCGTTATTGACACACACACACACACACACACACACACACACACAGAGCTGTCTGCAGTGCACACACACCACCATGAGGTGCGGTACAGGAACAGCGCACTGATCTGAAGAGATTTTCTCCCTGCTGCTTATTATATTTTACATATATTATTACATGCCACATCACTTAAAAAAAGATGATTAAAATTAAGATTTCTTTTTTATAACACATAATAGGCATTTCACTCCTGTTTTCAAGTGTCCACCAAAATATCACATTCTCCTGTTTGAAGAGATATCATATTTATTTATCATAGTTTTACAGTTGTAACATTAACTGCACTACGCTGGTCGACATGACATTTCAATTTAGTGTTCAAAGTGACAAATATAAATGTAACTTGTCCAGATTTCATGAAATATTTTTATTAAATGTAATAAAATTTCCTTAAAACCTATTTAAACTATTTATTTTTAGCTTTTATTACTATTTTATACTATTACTATATTACAATACTATTTTATACTGTTTTATTACCTATTATATTTTATTACTGCTTTCATATTTAAAAAAATATATACAGTATTAATAATCTTATGAATTACAATCTTTTTCCACTGCTGTTACTATGCTAAGCAACATTCCTTAAGTTTAAACTTCTTAAATGTATTAATATAAATTAAACTAATTATATATATACAGTGGGTACGGAAAGTATTCAGACCCCCTTAAATTTTTCACTCTTTGTTATATTGCAGCCATTTGCTAAAATCATTTAAGTTATTTTTTTTCCTCATTAATGTACACACAGCACCCCATATTGCTGATCAAAAATGTGGTCAAAAATGGTAACCGGTTACAGTGTCTATAAACATACACAACAATTTTGATATTGAAACAGTTAAATTCTGTCATTTGTCAATTAACTGTAGTATTTTGGTGGAAACTGTGTTTCATCATGGTCAATCTCTGAAAGGGACACACAGTTCAACCCAGACTGTTAGTGAAGCACAATAATTCCCCTCACAGACACATTCTGGATGAATATATTTCCTGTTTCAACTGCCTTAGACCATAATCAGCCATTATACTCACTCACAGTCTCTCATCTGAAGATTACACATGAGCATCATCACCACACAGACCAATCACATTGCGACATCTGTTTCCACACACACAGTATCTAACACACAACACTGACACCTATTGACCATCCACATTAGCTGCTGTGGTTCAGTGATATGGAGTATGTGGAACTGTAATGTGGGAAAGAATTTAATGTATCTAATTATCAGGGTTTGCCTGCTAAACTAAAGATAATGTGTGTGTGTTTGAGAGCGTGGGAATGTCAAGGACAAACATTTCAAATATTCAGCCCTGAGAGTTCATACTGAACCCTCTGTGTGCGTGTGTGTGTGTGTGTGTGTGTGTGTGTGTGTGTGTCTGAACACTCATATGTAAGACACACAGGCTTCTGTGATCTAGAATATTCTGTGTGTTACATGTGTTTTTGCTCAACTGACATTCAAATCTGTCACCTGTATGCAAATCAAACCTCAAAAAATACCAATGTATTTGGTCACTTAATTCAAACTTTAAACCGTCTGATTGTGATTAGATAATAAACCACACTTGCTTTTATTGTCCAATTAAATGACATCCAAACATTTTTAAGTGTTTTCAGTCCAGACACTGTCTGGGCTGCTGCATGTATAACAGAATGTTGGTTAAGCTGATATGACTGATCTGTAAGCTGCAAAAGCAACTAAGCAGTAAACTTGTCTAGCTAAACTTCAATGAAAATTACAAATGTTGTCTTGGCAATTAAATGAAATATGTTGAATATCATTTTTTTAACTGGGAAAAATATAGCTAAATAGTAGTCTTTAAAAAACAAAAACTAATAAAAAAATAAATGCAAATAACATAACCACAATAATTAATAACTATAACTAGTTATATACAATAACCACTTAGATTAACATGAACTAACAATACACATTTCTACAGCATTTATTAATCTTAATGCTATAAACCCATTTTTAAAATCTAAAGATTAATGAACTAACATGAAGAATGAACAACTGCATTTTTAATAACTAATATTAATAGATTAATAAATGCTGTAAATATGTCAATTAATGATAGCTCATGTTAGGTAATGAATAAACTAATGTCAACAAATGATACTATATTACCCACATTTTTCTATCATTCTCCCTCAAACACACACACACACACGCACACACACACACACACACACATACACATACACATACACATACACATACACACACAGGTTTGTTTTTATGGTTTATGGGGACTCTCCATAGGCGTAATGGGTTTTATACTGTACAAACCGTATTTTCTATTGCCCTACACCAACCCTACCCCTAAACCTACCCCTCACAGGAAACTTTCTGCATTTTTAGATTTTCAAAAAAACTCATTCTGAATGATTTATAAGCCTTTTGAATTACGGGGACACTGAAAGTATCCTCATAAATCACCTTCTCGTTGTAATACCTATGTCATACCCATGTTATTATACAAATTTGTGTTCTCATAAACCACATAAACATGCACACACACACACACACACACACACACACACACACACACACACAAACAGGTCTGCAGAAATAATGAGTGGAAATTTGGAGCCCCAAAAGTTTCAAACTACAGCCAGGCGAGAAAAGTAGGTCAGAGAGAGAGACAGAGATAAAGACACACACACACACACACGCGCGCAGACACACACACACACACACGCATACAAAAAGAGAGTGTGAGATAGACAAAGAGAGAGAGACACACACACATACAAAAAGAGAGTACGAGAGAGAGACAGCTTATTAGATGTACTACTGTGGCCAAATGATTTCACATGATCCACATTAAATGTTGAGTGTGAATCAGTGAGTGATGGAAAAAAGGAGAAAACTGTGTTCATGCAGAGTACGTCTCAGGAAAGAGGAGAGCTAGAGAGATTTTTTTCAA